AGCTGAATTTTGTTTTATTTTTAAAGTTTACTAATACTTCAAAAAAAAAAAACTTATAGTATACAGAAGTATTCAAAGAATGAAAAGAACAATTAAAAATGCAGATTTCCCTGTAAGGTAACAAACAGTCTTTCATAGACTCACATAAGGAATTATTTTTGCATTAAAAAATGTATTATATCTTGAGATAGAATTCAAAGGACTTCTTACAGTATACTATATATATATATATATACACACACACACCGTATACTATATATATTATATATGTGCATACTAAAAAGTATATATACTCCTTAGTATGCCTTTTTAAAATGACCCTTTCTTGCCGGGCATGGTGGTGCACACCTTTAATCCCAGCACTCAAGAGGCAGAATCAGGCAGACCTCTGTGAGAGGCCAGCCTAGTCTACACAGCAAGTTCCAGGCCAGCTGGGGCTACCGAAAGACCCTGTCTCAAAAATAAATAAATAATAAAATAAATTTAAAAAGCAAAAATAAAATTACCCTTTCTTGTTCCTATTTTAGAAATTAGAAAAAGGGCTTAAAATACCTCTTTCTTTACCATCTTTCTTTAGCTCTCAATAGGATACCTGTTGTTTCTTCAGATCATATCAAAGATTTTAAGAATGAGAGTATTTTATTAGCAAATTTACTTGCAAACTAGGTACAGTAACTTCAAAGGACTACGCTGGCTTCTGTTCAGGGGAATAAAAACAAGTCTTTCTAGGTAAGCTTACTGGCACAGTCTGCAATCCCAGCAGCTCAGCAAGCTGAGGCAGGAGGATTTACAAGTTCAAGGTCTGCTTGGCTACATAGTAGTTTCAGAACAGCCTGAGGGAACTTAGTGAGACATCCTGAATGTCAACTCCTTAACTAGTGTGTGTTCACTTTATGCCTATCCTTCCCCTTTCTACCCCAACTCTTCCCTGCCAACCACTCATTCATTCTTCTGCTATGAACTCTATCAATAAAGTACCAATAGTAATAGCTACTGTTTGGTGAGTGCTGGTCACAGTGCCAGGCTCTGAGGGGAATGCTTCATGAACATTCCCCTCAAAATAACATTACAAAACAGGTATTGGTATCCCTGTTTTATTGTGGAAAAAGTAAGAGTTGAGATGTTAATAGTTCACTAGCTGCTAAGGGGCAAAATCTGGGTTTATGCAGCTCTCTTTGACTCCAGAACACCCTCCTTTTACACTGTGCTGTTGCTGCTAGCAGCTAATGTCCACTTACTAACATGCTCAGTACTTTCAGTTAGAACCTCATGTCTTCAGCAGGTCAAAATGGAGCACTTGCTGCTGTAAAATCCTCTTTTAGATGCTATTGGAGATACATAAATAAATGAGAGACTGCCTGTAGATTACTATCTTCATAATCTCCCACATTTGTTATAAGCAGCTGTATCACATCAGTTTGTAAGAAGGGGTATCCATGACTCATAACTTAGAGCAACTAAGGTCAGAGGGTGTGAAAATGGCTCAACATACTAATATCAGATGGCAACCACATCTACTCTTAGACAAAAATCAGCCAACCCTAACTAAATAACTTACAGAGAACTTTAATAATACAGTTCCTCCCACATTTGTTATAAGCAGCTGTATCACATCAGTTTGTAAGAAGGGGTATCCATGACTCATAACTTAGAGCAACTAAGGTCAGAGGGTGTGAAAATGGCTCAACATACTAATATCAGATGGCAACCACATCTACTCTTAGACAAAAATCAGCCAACCCTAACTAAATAACTTACAGAGAACTTTAATAATACAGTTCAGTCAGAATCTGTTCTTTAAAAAAAAAAAACAAAGACCTCTGTTAATGAAAAATTTGTCTTGTCTGAAGTTCCCAACCAAATCTGCTTATAATCCATTTTCAATGAACCTCAGCTTCCTCTGAATAGAGGAAGCTACTAAAGCATTTAGCCAACAATAAGCACATTGTGGAGTGAGTCTTTATAAAACTCATTACTGATGAGAAAACTTAATTAGAAAACAAGTACAATAGCAAACCACTTTTACTATGTGGCTGGATGTTGTATAAAATTATATAGAACTAAACAAACAAACAAACAAAAAATCAAACATCATTTTAAACTATCTAGTTTTAGTATCACCTTCCCTAATCCTTAAATAACTTTTTGTTTAATATTTTATTTATTTTTAAATTTTATTTTATTTATTATTTTTATTTTATGTGTATGAGTGTATTGCCTGAATGTGTGAGTGCACTCATGCTGTGTAATGTGGTGGAGATCAGAAGAGGGCTTTGGATTCCCATAGAACTGGAGTTAAGGACAGTTCGTAGCTGCCATGTGGGTGCTGGGAATTGAACCGGGGTCCTCTGCAAGAGCAGTCATCTCTCCAGCCCCCTTGCTTAATATTTTGAAGAGACTAGTTATATTTTCACAAATAACTCTAACAGTCACAAATATATGTTAAGTCAGATATTCAGCCGTTTTCTTTAGGCTACAACTAATGTTTACAAACCCCACAGGACACCTTGAAAGAGTCACAATTTGGGCTCAGTTGTACCTATATTTCTCTTAAGTATTTATAGGCACAATACTAAGACCATAAACTACATGAATAAGATTCGCTCAAAGATTATATTGGCAAATACTATCTGCATGTACCGTAACATCAAAACTCTGGATACAAGGTTGGGCTTGGTGGTGCATGCCTTTAATCCAGCACACTAGAGGTGGGGGCAGGCATATCTCTGTGAGATTGAGGCCAGCCTGATCTACAGAGTGAGTTCCAGGCCAGCTAGGGCTACAGGGAGACCCTGTCTGAAAACAACAACCAAAAACTCTCAATACAAAGCTGAAGAGATGGCTCAATGGTTAAGAGTGCCTCCTGCTCTTGTAGAGGACCTGGTTCAGTTCCAAGCACCCAAACTGGGCAGCTCATAATTGCCTGTAACTCCAGTTCCAGAGGATCTGATGCCCTCTTCTGGCCTTTCGGAGCACTTGTATGCAAGTGGTGCACATACATACACTCAGCTGCACACATGCGTACACATAAAATAAAAATTTAAATAAAACCTTTTAAAAAAAACTCAATACAACCAATTTCTAGGAAAGAAAGATTAATAAAAATAAAAAATTAACAGTTCGTACCTCACAAAAAAAGAGTGAAACAAATTAGAGGCACCCATCTTATGTTAGAGACACTGACACTTACTGCTCAATTCGAGGTGACAAGTATAGCTTGGGATACACCTGGGTGGCTTCAGTGTCCTCAAAACTGACAGAAAGGAGGGCCACATCTTCTCCAGGATCTTCATTTACATCCTTAAAAATAAGTGAAAAACACAATGTCATGAGCACCTGCTCTCTGAAGATTTTTGGTTTTTTTGAGACAGGGTCTCAGTATATATTCCTGGCTGGCCTCACATTAGAGATCCCCCAGCTTAGCCTCTCAAGTGCCAGGATCACAAGCATGTACCACCAGGCCAAGTTCACTCTGCAATCCTCTTAGTGATGAGCTCACAGTCCACTGGCATGAAGCCATGGGTGTGAGCTGTCCTTATTCCAACCAAACAGCTCAGCATAACACCCTTGCCTCACACCTCATCACTCAAATGTGATGGCTTTCAAATTTCTTGACTTGCCTACACAATAAGGCACAAAGTGCTCACCCAACCTTACTTGTTCCCACATCCCCAGTTAAGGAGGGGAGTGAATCTTGTGGTAACAAAGCAGACAGGAGCATACTTAACACCTCCTAGTAACCACATTGCTACAAATATGATTTATAAACACAAGCAACAGCAAAATGTTAAAAATTCTCAATAATCTTATTATACCTACCTTCATGGTAAGTTATTTAGGTAGCAAAATTCCCAAGAAATATATTCTCATGAAATATGTCACCATAATACAAAGGCAAGGGGGCTAGATGCACACCTACTTTAACAAAGTGATTACAGATGATTTACCCGGGAACCACAAAGCATACATATCTTACATGCCCAGTTATAAGACTATAGAAGACAAAATTATTATTAATTCATGTGTGATCATTACTGATCAACCCACCAAGGAACACTTTGAGCTTAATCACAAAAAACTGGATTGATATGTGCCGGGCGCATACCTTTAATCCTAGCACTCGGGAGGTAAAGGCAGGCGGATGTCTGTGAGAGTTCAAGGCCAGCCTGGTCTACATAGACAGTTCCAGGTCAGCTGGGGTTACAGGGAAACCCTGTCTCAAAAAGACCAAAAAGAGAAAAGAACATGAATTGATAATTATAAGGCCAACTAAAATCATAATGCAAAAATAGCAGAGATTGAATATCAGAACCAACTCAAGGGAATACGGATGACATATTGATAAAGTATCCTGAATCAACACTGTGGAACTTTGACTATGTGCATGTGCTTCATGATTATTGCCAAGTACCAAGTTGTCAGCCAGCGTTCTCAATAAGATACTGCATTAGAATAACTCTACGAGTTTGTTGATTTTAATTTGTATATACCATATTTTAACCCTTAGTAACTTGGCAGTGGCTCCAAGTCAAGTATAAAAATTTTAAACACAATGGAATCATACTTCTTTCTCCCATAGGGACTAGTAAGAACTGATTTGTCTTTCTTAATTAGTTTAGAGGTATTTAGTGGGCCTCAACCATACCACGAGGGAGCCCCAACCTATGCTTTACTATCACTATGCATGAGGACTGAGAACCTCAGGCACAGTATCCATCACCTGTCTGACGCCTACTCCCTTTCCTGCATCTTGGGAAGCTAGTCAGCACACATACCACTCAGCCCTGACATCTTCAGTCTCCTTACCCTGCTTCTTGTACCTATAAGATGCACAAGAGGATGTATGCACAGGAACAAGGATCATAAAATCTCTCCCATTCTAAAACTGAAAAATATTTAGGAAGAATCATGCTGGACTCTACCTAGACCCAGTGTAATTCAATGTTGGGATTGTGAAAAATTGACAAAAGTAAAAGATCTCTGAACAGCAACAACCAAAAATTAATTCAAAATCAAATGTACAGTGAATCCAAGGTGTTTCCCGCAGAGCTTTCCCATGTGGCATGCTGTACTTTCATTGCAGTCTTGATCCTATCACACATGTGTGCCTTGTATTACACATGCTGTCATACCACACATGCCAAGGAATGCTTCCTGAAACACCTTGACTCAGACTTCAGAATTGTATGTTATGAACTACTGTGTTTTTAACAGATATAAAAACTTTTCTGCCCTTATAGAAACATAGTGGTTTAATGGCAGACAGCAGACTTTCAATATTTTCCTACCACCATTCCTCAGCAAGTAAGTAACAAATTAGTATGTTTGGGGATTGTATTGTGTCAGAATTTTTGATTTTAGGAACTGCTGTTTGAATTGCAGGCTTGAGTTTCATTAAAAAAAAAAAACTCAATGAATTTTGACTTGGGATTAGGACAAATTTTTCAACAATTACTGAATTGTCCATAAACATACTTCTGCTGTTTTGTACTATGTATTTATACAAAGTGGTATTCTCAGCATTTAAGAATATAAAATCAAAATGCAGATCAACTCTGAAAGATGTTGACAATGTCCTGCAGCATAAGATATTCATCCAAGATGTAATTCTTCATAGAAAAATAAACAAGTATACGAAAATTTGCTTTGGGTTTAAACAAATGGTAAAATTATATGTATACAACAAATTGCTTTGAAATAGATTTCCTTTTGGCATATCATCAATCATTTGATTATATACATGTTTTATATACTTATATAAACAGAGTTGTGTAAAAATTTCTCATGTAAAAAGGAATCATGAGAAGCTAGGCATGATGGTACATGCCTTCAATCCCAGCACTCAGGTGGATTTGTGACATCAAGACCAGCCTGGTCTACATGGTAAGTTCCAGGCCAGCTAAAGCTATAGGAAGACCCCGTCTCAAAAATAAATAAATAAATAAATATTTTAAAATCTTTAAAAAATGGGTTCTTGCCTTGGCAAGATGGCTCAGAGGGTAAAGGCACTTATCTCCAAGTCTGATGACCTGATTTCAATCCCCAGTCCCACATGGTGGAAGAAGAGAACTGACTCACCAACTCCTACAAACTGTTCTCTGACCTCTGCATACATGCTGTGGCAAGCGTGTGTACACACACACACACACACACACACACACACACACACACACACACACACACACACACACACACACACATTAAATCAGTAAGTATAATAAAATAAAAATTGTGGTTTTAATCTAAATACAATGAGTAGTTTAAAGGAAAGCAATTAAGTGACTGGCATGGTAGTTACACTGATTTAAGAAGAATAATGAAAGTGACTTAGAATGGAGGAGTGGAAATTGAGGTGGGTCAAAATAGATTTCAGACACAGCAGAGGCAGGATTTTTTTTTTTTTTTGATGGGGCAAGTGAAGAGGGGCAAAGGGTGATGGCAAAGATCTCAACCACTTCCCAAACTGAAGTAACTGGGTAATGTGATGCCTGCCGTTTTTGGTAGGGACCAGAGTAGGGAGTCTTAGTTTCCTTTCCTGTTGCTGTGATAAAATACCCTGAATAAAGAAATTTAGGGGAAGAAAGGTTTGATTTCACCTCATAGTTCCATAATAGAGAAGTCACAGGCAGAAGTTTGAGGGATCTGGTCACACTGTATCCATAATCAGGAACAGAGAACAAAGAATTACATGCTAGTACCCATCTTGCTCTCTCCACTTTTATTCAACCCAAGGAATGATGTGGGCAGGTCTTTCTACCACAGTCAATACAATCAAGATAATCCCTCACAAAAATGTCCACAGGACAATCTAATCTAGAAATTCCTCATTGAAACACCCTCCCCAGGGTGATTCTACATTGTATGAAGTTGAAAATCAAAACTAACTCTCACATAAGGTCAGGTCTATTTAAGAAACTGAGAATTTAATTTCAAATATGTTAAAGAATTGAAGTTGACTGTTTGACCTCTATGAGGTATCCATGAGACGTTAACCACAAAACAATCTAGAGAGTATAGGAATGGCTCCATTGGAAGTAGTGCCCTATCCATCGGATTAAACATTAGGGAACAGATACAATCACCTAGTGAAGAAGGCTGCAATGGTAATGGCTAGGCTCTATGGAATGCCAAGATCTAGAAATTGCTTAGGGCCTTGGAGGTCACCTAACAAGAAAATGTGATGTGTAGAATCTGAAAAAGGAGACATTTAAGAGGTTAATAGCACTAGAGCTGTTCTTTGGAAAGGTAAGGAGAGATTCCCAATTGCTGTGAATTATAGAGGGAAAGGTAAGTAAGAGAAAAAAATAGAGACAGTATAACAGAACCTCAGACAGTGAGACTCTTGATTAAACAGAGAAACAGAAACAAGCCAGTCTGATCTGGAATATCCCTCAATTGAGATTTCCTTCTTGGGTGACTCTAAGTTGTGTCAAGTTGACAGTTAAAGTAAGAAGACACTGTATTTCCATTATCTTTATATGTTTATATATAAACATCTTTTTATGGAGGAAAGGGTCTATTTGGCTTATACTTCCAGGCTGTAGTCCATCATTGAAGGGTAATCAAGACAGGAACTCAAGGCAGAAGCTTGAAACAGAAACCATGGAGGAGCACTGCTTGCTTGCTTTCTCACTGACTTGTTCTCTGACTCATTCTCACTGAGCCTTCTTTTTGGTTGTGAACCTGAGTCTTTAATGCCCGTGCCAGTTCTCGGCCCTCAGTGAGCTTTCTTTTAATTTTTTAATTGAGCTTTGGTACATTTTATAACACAGTTCTTAATCAAATTTAGACTCCCTCCCCCATCCATGACCTCCCCCCAAATTGGACCTTACGTATTCCCCTATACATGTTAAGTTCTATCCAGATAAGCATTTGTACCCAGATGTCCTTCGGTGCAAATTCATCCACTGGAGTCTAGTCAGCCCATCTAGAGATCATAAACAAGGCATACTCTCCCTCACCTAGTAGTAGTTGGTCTCCAATAGTTCCCAGATGAGGGACAACCCACCACCTATTTCCCTCACTCCACTTTGGTATGGGTCCTGTGCTCGATGCCACCATTGCTTTTTCCTTTTAACTTCTTAATATTTTAGTTTTATGTTACAAAAATGAAGCTTGTTTTAACAAGTCCAACTATATAAGAATTTATTTAAAATAGCTCTTGCACTCCCCACCTCACCCCTCACTTTCCAAGGTAACCAATACTAACTGCATATTCCCAAACAACTTTCATAAACACACAGGCACATACTTGCATATAAACAGCTTTTTAACCTTGTGTTTTGTTTTCTCTAATGGGA